TTCCTGATATTTTGTAGTTCTCCTGTTTGGCATTGCTGCCCCAAACCACATGGTCAGGATCCTCCCCACACCTCACAGCCTCTCCCACAGCTACTTAGTGATTTACAACAGCTCTTTATAAAGAGACTCCTCCACAGCCCATAGGAGCAGAGACACCCACCACTACACACCCTTCTTACACTGCAGCAACTCTTGCAGAGGGCTCCCTCTTTGAATGTTAGTTTTACTTCCCTTTTAGGGGCTTAAGAGGTTTTAGCGTTCCAGATAATTTAAGAAATCCTGCTAGTGACCACAGCCTGAGGTGGTTCCAACCTCTCCTCCAAATGAACTTGCAGGTGCCACAGAGCCACGTACTCCAAAAGAGAAGTGCAAAGCATGCCTCCCTTTCAACAGCTTAGCCAGAAAGGGATTTATCCAAAATCAAAACAAGCTTTGGTTGAGGACTAGTTTAAAAAACCATGCCACAGAATCAGTGGCATCAGACTGAAGAAAATTTAAGCTGATCTTCAACAGCTCCAGCCTCAACAGTTACATGTTTATTTGAACTTCACTTGGTACTCACCACTGTCCATTATGCTTCTCACGAACAGCTGTGATGTGAATTGCTACGTTCCCCAGAATCAACACCCACTTCAGTTTGACATAAGAGGGAACAGGACCTCAGTGTTTTAAGGCATCAGATGAAACCTACTCACCCATAAGAAAAAAAGCCACGATCCTTTCTACTCATCTTGCACTTTTTTTTTTTTTTTAAATAAGGTGAACAGAAGACTACCTATGTTTTACTTCAAATTACATTTTGCTTGCTCCCAGTGATGTTGCAGAGTCAACTACAAAATTCCATTTGCCCCACAGGAACCAGCTCAAAAAAACATCTCTGTTTGCGAGAAGTAGACTATAACCTTGAAGGTCAGACTGTTAAATGGTATCCAAGTGCTTATTTTAGAAGGGAAAGATGGAGGAAAACACTTGGTTACTGCTTCAAGGTGATCCCCTTAAGCAATTCCCTTGCACAACAAGAGTAGTTTGTCTTTCTGGACCTAACAGCAACTTAAAGCAGAGTTCTAGTTTACACCAAATAGTGTGTATTGACAAACTGTGAGCTTAAATCAAAAAGCATAGTTTATTTAGTACCACAGAATTGTCAATGGAGGCTGAGTCAAAAAGGAAGATCTCTTAAGATATCTTAAACTTGACTTTTGCACCCAGAGACCATCATCTCATTAGCCCAACAGTTACCACATTGCTGTAATAACTCATCTGGACAGTTGCTATAAATCCACCAAGCTGAGTAAGGGGGCTTCAGGTATACTTGGTGTACATGAAAGGATAAAGTCCAAACCAGACTGGTAGCTGGTAGGTTGTCACAAGAGAACACAGAAGTTGCGCATACTCAATTACTGCTCAGATTCTTCACAAGAATGTTGCTGGAAATCAAGTAATCACTCAAGTTTAGCAGTAAGTGCTCAGAGTTATTTATTCCACAGTGTATTTTAGTACACTGATATTAGCCCCCTCACAGATAAACCTTCTCACTTAGGATAGTTAAAAAGGATTTATCTGCATTCTGTTAAAACAAGACTCTGGGACCATGGGAATCACAGCAGCATTCCTAAGGCCATTCACACCAAACAAGCATTTACTTGAGACTGGACTGCAAGAGAAAGGAGGGGAAGAAAAAAAAAGGGAGACTTGCAGAAGCAAGACCAATAAAGACTACTAATAAAATAGATCTGCACCGAAATAAGTTGTAAAAGACTTGCCGTGTGGTTCAGTAGAGACCTGTGTACTAACAAGGTACCCATCTACCCCAGTGACCTGTTTAAGGCAAGTTTCACACACAATGATGCTTGGTGTAAGCAAGCATTTGACACTTTTTGGCTTTTGGTTGCTGCAACAAAACGTGGGGAGAGAAAGCAGAGTTCTACCTTTACTACAGCAGGCACCTCAAGTGACCAAGACCAAAGTGGCTCTAACTCAGAAAAAAGAAGTTTAAAGCATGGACCAAGAGAATTCTACCATGCAACTCCCAGAGCTAGCTTTAGAAAAAAATACACTAAAGACTCATACTTGCTTCCACAATTCCCATAAGCCTTGAAAAGCTGCTGCTCAACTCACTCCCACAGCTAGGCTGCTTTTGATCCCCAAGTCAGTTACAAGTACACTTCAGCCAACTGACATTACTTCATAATCACCAAGGTAAACAAAGATACTCAGTATGAACCAACAGCATGCCACTCTCACAAAAACCACAGTTCATGCTTGCATCACAGGCTATCTGCAGGTGGTGTTGGTATGTTCTCTCTAGTACCACCCCAACTCCCACACAGAAAAGTCTCCAGAAACTTTTTTATCCGGAAGCACATGGGTGGTAGCAAATCAGAAAATATTCATTTCTAGCCTTTCCCTGTCCATCCAAGAAAAGTGATAAGGATTGGTTAGGGTGGTCTGTATCATAAGAATACTTTTTTTTTAATTAGCAAACAAAACAGAATGATAATAAAGATGTCATTTGGCACCTTGCAGTACAGTTTTATTTTCATCTTTTTAGTGTTTCACTCATCAGTTCCTTCCAACTAGAGAGGTAAGTTTTATCAAGATCCCCGTGCACTTTCACTACGAACCCCCAATCACTCCATAGGATAAAGAAGGAACCATTCAAGATAACTCAAAAAGATGAAACATACCCCAGTTTAAACACAGAAAGTGAGGAAAAAAATTCACACAGTTTTCAGAGTGTCTATTCCAGCCTAAGTGCAGCTGGCATTTCAGTTAACTTGACAAAAGTCCTCCATACAGTTCCAGTATGTCTAGTGGTACTGAGCACAGAAGTGCTAGGCTGCCCATGAAAGTACTTCTTATTTGGTCTCTGGCTTGTCTTGCAATAGTGGTATAATTGACTCCCACGCCGTAAGGCACTGAAGAAAGAAATGAAGAGTTAAAAAAATTGATGGTACATCAGTTCTTGTAGCTTTTGACCAACCCTTTTGAGTCATTTCCCCAGACACATATACTTACTCCAGTCCTTATGCTGTGTATCATTACTGTCTTTCAACCATGTACAGCGCAGAAGTTAAACTGCACAAATACAGACCATGGAATACATATTATTAAGCACTGGGAATGGGCAAACTCATCACCAGCTCTTATATCCACAAGTCACTGTTGTAGAGCATCTTCCTTCCAATCTTGCTGATTGTACTGAAGGTGAATAAAGTATTTCTAGTTGTGTATCCTGAACTGATTAGACACTTTCCCACCAAAAAGCTTCCTTGCTAGAGCTAAGAGCAAAACTAAGATGTACAGATTTAACTGTCAAGTGCAGGGACACTGCTGGATGTTCAGTGGAGTCTTTAATGCTCCCTTCCACAGCAGTCTCAGAAGAGAGAAGAGACCAGGCTGAAGGAAGTTCTGTGTGACTAGTTATGAATTACTGACAAGACAGACATTGGAAAGGGCAAAAGGAAGAGCATATTAATATTACATGGAGACATAACCTAGCACAGGAAGAAACTTGTAAAGTAGATGTGGAAAAAAAGCAATAGGCAAGAAGATTAAGTACATCACCATGCATAAGCCTAGTAGTGTTTAATATATCAACCACTGCATTAGGCAGCACTGTTCTAGCATGAAGGAAAACTAGACTGGCAGCATGTGCAGTTGAATGTCAAGACCCTTTCACTTAAAAAAAAAATCTGACACTGGGTCTCAGGTACACATGCTTCATCTGAAAAAGGACAGAGGCACTTGACTAGGTATTTCCAGGACTAGCATACAAGAGACAGAACTATGGATAAGGGGACAGAGGTGCATACCAGGTGTAATCTATATATGGTGAATGGATGTCCATTAACCCATGTAGTATGGTTGATAAAAGGCAGAGTCAAGAGATTTTCTAGCTTGGTAGTATTACTAGAACATGCGTTTTTGCTCTCTTCCATTGCCACTGCTGCTGCTCAGTAATTTGTTCAATTCAGGAATGCAACACAGACAAGCATCCAGGACAAAATGCTGTGACAGGGCTGCCCTGCAAAAGACTGCTAGTCTCATGCAGATCACTTGAGCATGACCAGCAACTCAAGAGATAACACTAAGCTGCTGACAAAGAGCAGCTTCCACAGCACTAGAGAACCAATTTAAATGTCCAAGATTTTCTTCAAGACAGCACGAGAATTTCCTGAAGAATTATCACACCTCAGAAAAATGAACTACTCTTATTCCTGTCAGTGCTCCAGCAGTGCAACATACCTTCTCGTAGTACTGGATGTTTTTATCTGCCATCCCCATGAGTAGCTGCCTAAAGTCTTGTCTTTTGTTGTTCTGCCATCTCTCCATATCTGCTTTCAGGTCAGCATTGAAACACTCTACTCGGTCTTGGCATTTCTCAACATCTGTGGGTACCTGCAGCAAAAGAAATGAAGATAGAAACCGTCACTGAGAGCGCTATACTGCTGAATTAGCTCAAACCTCCCTGAGCAAAGCTACAGAGCAAAGAGTAAGTTAACAGTCCATAACTGAATAAACTCAGTTATGGCTGCAGGAAGAAAAGCCCCATTTCTGTATTAGTGAGGAGACAGGATTCCTTAATTTGTTCTCTGCTGTTTGCAGTGGTGGGCAGTTGTGCTTGTCCATTTCCATGTCAGATATGGAGGCAGACTGAGGAAAAGCTTGCTTAGAGGCACATCAAGAGTGTAAGTGCTGGGTGCCTAGGCTCAGTTCCCAGTTCTCAAACTGAGCAGCTTGACTACAGCTCCAGAGCAAGCTTCCTCTCCTCTTTCCCATTTACAGTTGCACTAAGCACTTCCCAATTTACACTAGTGTGTATGAAACAACAAACATTTAGCTTAGTCCAAAGAGCTGGTAAGAGACTTCAATGTTACCTCTTGATCACAGTATACAAACAGCAGTGATCAGCTATGGCTGCAGAATAAAATTCCTAAACCTCTAGTTTCTAGATTCCACCTTTAACTTTACAGGCTGCCTGAAAAGAAAAAGTGCAAAGCGCTGTTGATCAGCACGGTGGATTGGCTTATGGGCCTTGGGGCTCAACACTGGACACAATCACACATGAGCAGTGGGAGAAATCTTGAAGGACAACCTATTGCAAGCCTAGGTAGAGATTTAAATGGATTATGACAGTAGTCACAAGCCCAAAGTAGATGCACTTTAGGCCAAAGAAGTTGCCGTTCTTTGCTTATATTTTATCGAACATCATGTATAACACCAGACAACTACAGGAACAATTTACAAATGTTTCTTCAAGCAGGAAAGCCATGAACACCTTTCTCTCCTTTCTCCTTGTGCTGCATGGTCCACACAGATCGGAAGCCTGTAAGGACATGCAGACTAAGCCCATGACCTCAGAGAAGGAAATCTCTGAGCTCTAGCACCAATGTGAGAAGTGAACTTCCACCCTGGAAGCTATGACTTGCACAGAGGCAAAAAGCAGAATGAAGAACATTTGCAGATTTGTAGTGGCTCTTCTCATACCTGATACTTTCAGGAAATTTCCTTTTTCTTTGCGGGGTGTGAAGGAAGGAAGAGGATGAACAGACTATGTAAGAATCTTTTCATGGTTTACAATATAGGAAGCTAGAGGTGTGCTACTACCTTCCAGCTTGGCAAGGTACACAATTTAGGCAGATACGTATCAACTCTGGTTCTTTGCCAGGATGTGGATTAGGGCTGATCACTGAAGTATTCTACTGATTGATACTCAGAAGAGGTCCTACACCTGTTCTCTGATAAAGCGCTTCAAGACACAGGGAGCACCTCCTTCATAGTCATGGAATACGAGTAGCCCTTTATTCACACAACTGGATTTACACTACAGGCAGCTTGGGGGTTCAGTAGCTACACACTTCCCCCACCCTTTCCGAGCACTATACTTCTGGCTACAGAATCCACTCTGCTACAACTCCAGACGTGAAGTTCTGTTGTAGGCTTCAGAGAAGAACTGCCAAGCCAGTGGCTGGCAGGTTTAGAAGAGGCTCCCCTCAAGGCAAGTATGCCTTGCCACTTATTTGTAAGTACTCTACTATCTTAACGGAAAAGGCTAGACTATCAAGGGAGTCATGATGTCTGGAAGCAAGACCACCTAAGATTTCCCAATCCAATTAAGTTAGTTTCCTGCTTCTTCTGTCAGGACCTGAAGCTACAAAGAAGCTATGAAAAAAAAAAACCCAACAGTTCTTTCTCACAGCCAGTTCTCCTGCAGGCCAGACTGAGTTAAGAGCTACAGGGACATCCCAGTGATCAGCAAATGGCTCATTATGCTCTAATTAAGGAACAACAGCAATGAACTCCAGCTAAGTCTCCAGAGGCATCATGAAAGTAGTGTCTGCACATGCACCAGTCCCGTTCAGGAGTGTAAACACCCTTCCTTCCAAAACTACAGCTTCCCAGAAGAGAAGTTGCAACTCAGTAGCTGAAACAAAATTAAGTTAATGAACACCTTTTAAGCACTTTACAGCTAGTGCAAGGTTAATGAAAAGAGAGGTTATAGTTCTAACATCAGATTTGGACAGAAGTTGAAACATCAGTGCTGATGATTTTACATGCTTTTACCAGTGGAGATACTGTATAGCAGCTAGCAACTAGGAACTGAGGAAAAGATTGTACTTTGGGGGAAGTTACTACTTTCTTACTGATGGCTGAATAGCTCAAAAAACCCAACCCCAAAACCAAGTGACAACTGGCTCAAACTGCAATAAACTCTAGAAGAGCCCATCACTATTTCAGTGAGCCAATTTAAACTGGGAAGAGATGTATATGCAGGCAAGAACAGAGCATGAAATTCAGCAGTCAGGTCACCTCATTATATGATATGAAGTTCTGCACCTACATCTATTCCTCTTCATATAATTATTGAAGAGACCAGAGTAAGTATGCCTCACATCTAGAATTTAACATGATCAAGTGCAGATGGCATTGCTTGCAGCATCAGCATGTCCACCTTTTAAAACTCATCTACAGCATCATTACCAAGTAACAAATGGCCCTGAAGCACAACAAAACCAGCATTTATTAGGCAACTAATCTCTTTATATGATACCTCTACCCTCCTAGTTCTCTGGAAACTCATACTGTTACAAGTCTTTTTTTTTTTCCCCCTGTAAATACACATGGTCACTTTCAAGTTCGGCACTGCCATATTTACTGTTCCCATATATCACCGCAAAACCTTGAGGCAGACATAATAAATGGTGGATTTCATCTCACCAAAAGGAAACAGTGCCTGCACTTCACCACACTGGATGGATTACTGCAAAACCAGCTCCAGCATGGGTCAGAAATGGGTAAGAATCACTTCACCACTGTACTTGTTAGAAACAGAAAGGCTGCAGACCCTGCACTAATACTGTTACGCTAGTGTCAAAAAACATCACACACACACTACGCTTTTGGTGTAAACTTCAGCATTTTGAGCAGTACTTGCTGACAGACATTCACATCAGCCCTACAAGACTTTTGTTTTTATAGGCCACCAAGTCCTAAAATGATCATTTCAATGTGAGAATGACCTAATAACACTGACGAAGCTTCGTGAAGTCAATCCAATAATGTGTGCAGCCAGTCCCAGAATGCCCTCCAGTGGAAGATATTAACAAGTAATGATAGGTCCTCATTTTGTAGGCCTTTATTTCTGCTAAGGTTTGGGTTTTTTTTAAAAAAAAACATTATTTCTGCCAAATCAGCTAAGTATGCCAAAAGGAACACTAATGCTGTTCACTGCATAACCCAGCTCATGGCCTTCTGTCTGCTTTTAGGTTCCAGTAAGTAATAGCCAGGAGACCTCACTCAGTGTAAGATGTGCTGCTAGCCACAGCTCTGAGCTCCCAGTTCTTAACAGACAAGGACATTCCCTCCAGGTGGAAAGGATCTGAAGACCGCGAGCAACATGCAAGGAGTTCTATTAATTTGTTCAACTTCATCTTGTAAACGACACAAAAGACTTATGTTAGGACAAAAAGTACAAGGAGTTGCCAGAAGATATGCTTATACTCTGGAGAGGATACATAAGTATTAAAAAAATTCTTAGCTATTTAAGTGCTGTGCTTTACACAATAATCCCACTGAGAAGTGAGATGCAAAAGCATTTTAGCAGGTGAGAGATTAGCAAAGTTCAGCAGTTCCACTATATCAAGATCTTGATAAAATCAAATGCCTAAAAACCTCAGTTGGCTTGCTAGATATGCTAGATTTCATTCCCTCCATCCTACATACAATTTGTTAGAATACCTGCTCATACAGAGCTACACAGAGGAAGTAAGAGTACATACCACACCAGCCAGCAGTGGGGCAGGCAAAAGACCAAATGCAAGATCACCACAAGATACTTAAGACACCACTATTTGTGGAGTCTGTGACAGACAAGACCAGAAAAACACCAGTTTGTGTTTCTATGATCTGTCCTGAACTCAGCTTCTCAGATTAAAGTCATTATGTGAACCTCCTGTAAGATTATTGTACAGCAATCCTACTACTGGAAAGTCACCCATTAGTTATTAACAGATGAAGGGGAACAAAAAAACCCCACCAAGCAGAAAGGAACAAAACCTGTCGTCACTGTTGGTTAAAGTTGCTGTGATTTAAGATAGGGCTCTTGCACGTTTCTTCATGCAGAAAGCAGGTGGCAGCATAAGCACGCCAGTTTACAGCTTTGCTTCTGCATGAAGCCCAGCCAAAACCTGTCACCCAGTGACACCTGCATCACACGGGAAGACCTCCCTAGCAGAAGGGGCAAAATATGGAGTTTTCCACAGTCAAAAGAGGTGTCCTACAATACAGTTCAGCGGTGTTAGGGCTAGGACCTTAACTCAGCGAGCTGACGTACTGCTAAATCACCAGGGACTGTTCTACCACTGCTTCAGTCTGTGTCACTGAACACTCCAACTGATTGCTTCTTCTTGTTCAAGTGTTATACAGGTTAGAGTCATCATGCTCTGAATGGTGGGAGATCAGTAGCACAAAAGTTGCTAGACAGGTTATGTATGTTCATACCTAAGTCTTTATTTCACACCAGTTTGCCAATAACAAACTTCTGTTCTGCCAGAAATAGCTTACACTGCAAAGAAGCCACCAGACCTAGTCAAAAGCAAGTTTCGTTTCTCCATTCTTCTCAGGAAGTAGTGTAAGTGCAAGATATTTTTGTAGAGTAGTTTGAAGTGCTAACCTTTGGACGGTCTTCTTTTTTCAAAGCTACTGCTTCCAGTTTTGCTTCATACTCCGCTTGGACTTGGTCTCTCTTCTTCAACACGTTCTATGGGCAAGAGAAAAGACAGCTGTGAGAGGGATCCTCTTGTTCCTTGACTCCCCAGCCTGCAAGAAACTGCAAAGTGATACAGCTTAAGTACTAATTCAGTCTGAAGTCAGATTTTCAGACTTACTTTGTCCTCTTGTGCGGTATTTAGGGAATAGCTTTTAAAAACAATAGCACTTCCTCTCCAACAGCTGGCAAGGTCAGATAAAATTCAACTTTTGGACAAGCTGGAGGCATGCAAGATAGAAGCCATCACGAATATAATGCTCACTAAGTAAATTCAATTCATCAGTTGACCTATTACTAGCATGAAAACAATATAAACAAAAGCAGAGCTGTCAAGGACTAGTGCAAAGCTTTTGATATCCTCAAGCAGCAGACAAACAATAGCATGGGCTAAGAGACAGGAAGGTTACCACAAAAGGTATTACATCTCCCTTTTCACTTGCAAAGACTTCTCAAAGTCTTTATAGCAAGCTGTTATGTTAACCTGTTAGAACAAAAGCAAGCTTTGCTTTTCAATAATTTGGGGGGGGTTGGTTGTTGGTTTAATTAAAAAAAATTAAGAAAAGCACCATTTATGTGAAAAAACTGAAGTACCTGAGTTTCAGAAGCAATAAACATTTTATTGACAGAATAGAGAGCAAAAGATGCTATTCTTATTGTGTACTACAACCACAAGCCAAGATCTCCACTCAGGTTATACTACAGTCTTACAATTTAAAAACAGCCACAGAAATTAGTCTTTTTAAGAATATACTACTAAAAAGTAAGTAGTCCTGCATCTGCACTGCAATAGTGGACAACTTACATCAGTGTTCACAAGGAAGCAACAAGTAATTTTTGATAATTAATTTGATACAAAGTTATTAATAAAAACGCTCAGTCAGCCAACTCACTGCTGAGGCACGTGTAAATTTGAAAACAAACTCTTGCAGCCAACTTGGCCAGTTCATGCTTTCACAGAATCATAGTTTGGGTTGCAAGGGATCTTAAAGACCATCTAGTTCCAACTCCCCCCCAGGCATGGGCAGGGACACCCTCCACTAGACCAGGTTGCCCAAAGCCCCATCCAACCTGGCCTTGAACACTTCCAGGGATGGGGCATCCACAGCTTCTCTGGGCAACCTGTGCCGGTGCCTCACCACCCTCACAGTAAAGGATTTCTTTGTAATATCTAATCTAAATCGACCCTCTTTTAGCCTAAACCCATTACCCCTTGTCCTATCACTACACCTCCTGATAAACAGTCCCTCTCCATCTTTCCTACAGGCCCCTTTAGGTACTGGAAGGCCACAATTAAGTCTCCCTGGAGTCTTCCCTGCTGCCACCCAGAAGGAACTACCCCATTTGGACAAAAGGAGGTAGTCATCTTCAGTTTCAGACAAGGCTAGTAAAGCAGGACTAGTCATGTGCACTGTTGCCTACAGAAGTATCTGTTTAAAAGATTAGTTTTCAGAGCTCTAAGAGGCAGTCCAGCCAAAATCTGTTTCCTAAAGATGTACAAACCCTGTATCTACTAACCACCTTCCCCCTGCTCCCTCTTAAGCCAAGGGAAGGTCACCAATACAGTTGCTCTAGAGATAGGAGATGTTGCAATCAACATTCTTACAAACTTCAGTCCACGATAATTGAGAATGGCACCCCATCCACAAAGTTGCTATTGGTTTAGGCAAAAAAAGGGGACAAAACTGAGAAATCTACCTTCAACATCTTAACCCTCTCTTTTGTCCCCAAAGGGATGCAAGCAAACATGCCATTGGTTGTATTTGCTTGAAAATCTACAACATTCCCGTTCCTTTTGGAATCTAAGCATCTATGTGGAATAGCCTTTAAGTGATTGAGGTTGCCAATGCAATAAAAGCCTGAGTGATTTAATAGGTATTTCTACTTTGTACTGCCTCTTGAACCTGAATCAACTGAAATTTCTTCTCAGAAAAACAACTGCTTCCAGCAATTGCATTCAGCTTTTAGGAGCCTGGAGTTAGTGCAGTAAGATGGATCTCTACCAGGAGTAGTCGATGATTAACTGGTATCAGCAGACTAGACTCAAAGGGCAGGTGTCTTACTTCGCCTTAAGTGCTCAAGTCCATCCACTATGGACCATTAACAATATGCTTCTGAACACAGCTTTAAGTATCCATTAATGGCTGACCTGTAAATGATGAGAAAAATATTGCCTTCCCTTTCACTTGTCCCATATGTAAAAGGAAGTGTTTCCTCTAGCACCTCCAGGCAATCTTGTCTCAGCTGTAGATCAATGCATTAATGCTTCTGTAGCTCCTCTGAAAAACTCTGCACCAAGTATCCCCAAGACTTACCACAGCCCATGTAATACTTCCACTAGTTAAGGCCTCACTTAGGAAAAAATATAGACATTTTAAAAAATTTTAAAAGTTGGAAGAAACCAACACCCAACAAAAAAACCCTCACACATTTCAGTTATTTGGGGACAGAACTAAACCCCTGGTCCCTGTACAAGCAAGACTTGGCTTGCATTCAGTGAGGCAGGGCCTTCTCCATTTTGTATTCAGTTGAAACATTTCACCTTGGCACATCTCTGAAGGAGCTTCAGGTGTCAGCATCAGCCTCCTTTCAAAAATCACAATCCTATGCCATTTGTACACCACATAGCTTCCTACTACAAGACAAGAGCATCCTTATTTACTGCACACCTTTAGAGAGACAGCTGTTCATGTAGTGCTTGCTTTAAACATGCATTAAGAGTAGCGTCCAAGCACACATCTGGGGATTGCATCATCCGATGAGCCCTTCTGGCAGTGTTAACCATACAGAGTTCATGTAACATTTTAATACCAGCACTTAATTAAGTGGAGCTGAGTTCGTCCTCTGCACTTGCCTCTCTGTGGAACACTAGCATACTGCAAAAAATGTGGTGCTGCACATTTGCTGACAAAGGGCTCCTTTCTAAAAGGGCTCTTGTCAGATGACGACAAAGACACTAAGCAGAGTATCCTAGCCAACAGGTAGTCTACCTGTAAGGCTTCAACACTACTCTCCCTGTGGTAAGTGGTGTTTAACTGCCTGAAGTACCTCTACAGCTGAAGACACCCTTGCTTTTTAGCTTAGAAATTTTATTTCCTCTGCTACATTTGTGAAAAGCACCTCTCAGTTCAGCTTGCTCCTTCAGATGCCATCTCCAGTAGGCTGTGGCATCAGCAGCATCAAAAGCCAGATGTTCTGGGCTAAAAGCTTTAACCACTAGCCTCATGCTCTGTTTATTTTGTGAGTACACAGACTCCCCTTCCTACAGAGTAAGACTAAGTCTGAACATCCTGGGTCAAGACTTCCAGCCACAGCTCAGAGCATTCCAACAATACTTGGGTGTTAATAGTCCTGTAAAGAAAATGCACCCTTTTTATACCAAGGTCAATACCATGACTACAAAAGCAAAGACTATACTCAAGGAATTAGTGCAAAGCCTTCTGCTAGAATACTTCAGCCAGGCAAGACAGGAGCCATACAACTAGCCATCTGAAGCTGGGAAAAGAAGTCTGCAAGTAAGAGTTTCAATTCTCAGTTTGAGAAGTATAGAATGACTAAGAGTAAGATGGAGAAGGACTATCATGTTCAGACTGTAGGTTTACAACAGGCTATTACATCTCTAAAGGAGTGCATACCATAGCCTTGTAATGGGTGTTTCAAGAGGAAGGTCCTCAGAAGGAATTTGTCTGTTAGCACCCTACTGCTAATACATCTGTACCATAGGCATGTGGTGAAAAAGCTCTAACAGCCAAACCAGAGTCCTCAGTTTCAGTTTTCAGTGCAGTTAACTCAGAAATTCTTTCCCTGTGCAATGGGATTGACTATCAATGCTCCTTAACTTCAAGAAAATAAAAACTGCATTGAAGTAGCTTTTATTACTTCTGCATAAGCAGTAAGTTAGCAAGACTTCACAGATATTAAGAGTCACAGAACAGCTTCAAGCAGTTACTTGGTATACAGAACTTAACAGAACTTTACAACAGACACATCCTGTCTAGGGCATGGGAGTGAGAGAGGAATCAGAGTCTGTCATTTGAACACATGGTTCTACAAGGAGCCACCCAATTCAGCTACATACAAGCGACAGAAGCTGCTAACACTACCTTTTCCGCAGGGCCAGACACTGACCCAGTACTGAAGAGCTGAGCCACAAACGCCTTTCTAACAATGCAAAGAGAAGATTCTAGGCAGCCACAGGATGTCTCCTACAGAGTACCACCTGCCTCTCTGATGAAGGAGCAGCCCTTCAACACTTTGTGTGCACCCCAACATTACTGACCTTAGCTTGACTGAAGAGCAGACAGATAATGCTACCCATGCAGTATCCTGCTACTAAACATTCCAGGTTTTGATTATGAAAACATCCTCCTACTTACTGTATTATTTATTTCCCCACTTTTCCCACCACCAACCCTTCCCACTGTTAGAAAGAATGAACTTGCTAATATATCATTCCATGCAAACACAATGACAGTGTCTTCTGCCACAGGGCTCTTTACCTTCATTGAATCCGAGTACAATATATATTCCCTAAGCACAGGCAGGAAGTCCTCTGTCATGTCTTCACTGAGTTCCTCAAGGGCTGTGCAGCAGTTCCCAATACAGGCAGAAACCCCTTCCAGTGGCTCCGCCAGCTCAACCTCCAGCCCTCCCCAGGTTGAATAAACAGGTCCATATTCTCGTAGTTCCACCAAGTATTCTGCAAGAGGCAGATGGAAAAGTAGATTAACAGAGTAAGAGCGAGGCACAAGGATTTGCAAACACTCATACCAAACAGGAGAAACTATGCACTAAGCTTAGCAAATATTAAGTCCCCCAGGAGTCAAGCCTTGTGTTGCATTAGCATCTTAATAGATAGAGCTCTGTGACTGCACGGATGACAGTTTCAAGTTCCCTCCTGCTTAACTGACCATTCCCCACAAGCTTCCAATACAAAGACAGTTGTATCTCCAGCAGCCAAAGTAATTTTTTTAAACGTATGTAAAATTGGTCTGTAAAGGTTATCTTCATCTAGGAATTCCGTCTGTACTCCTCCAGATGGAATCTACAGGTTTTTTCCCCCATCCCAAAAGTCTTTCCAAAAATAACTCCAGCAAGAAAGCAAGCTGGTATAACAACAAAAGCGACTTTAAAAAAAATATTTGGAGAGTTGAACTAATAGGAATACTAATAAGATACTGTGTTAGGTACTGTGTGAACTAATAAGATACTGTGTTAGGCTTTGGGCCTGTTTTAAATCTGCAAGAGGTATTACGTTTAGTTCTGTGTGTGGCACATTACAAGCCAGAATCATTGATGCAAGTTGTCTTGGTCATGCCATCAACCAGAACAAGATACAGAACGCTCAGAGTGAGGTATTATAATACAGCACCTTGTGTCCTTACCCAACTGTTCCTTGATAATCCGTTGTGCTATTCTGTCAATGGTACCAAGCTTTAGAGAGAATGTGTCCAGATACTCCCCAATGGCTGCAAACTCCAGTGGCCGACTTCTTAATTTGTAGCCTCCTGTGACATATTTGACAGACTCCCCCACCTTTGACAGCAGTGCCATTCCTTGCTTTTTGTAGGTATTAAGATCCTAGGAAGTTTAGAAATATTTCACTTGCATGCTGGAAGATTAATACAGTGAAGGATACTTTCCTGTCAAGATGAAATCTTGTGAAGGCAAGATATTACATGTGACATGTAGCCTTGAACAAAGCTTCACTTTGTACACGCTGTACAGCTGAGCACACTTTCAAGACTACCTCTAGATGGAGATAAGCTATCCAGAATAATGATATGAAATACATGATACATGAGTAGGTGGTCCACCTTTGCACATGGCCAGTCTTTGCCATCCTCCTGTACTGTCCCCAGGGAAGTAGTGATATTAACAGCTCTGTTTCCACCAATACTGTTCATGCCATTCATCCACACATACTTTTACATCATAGCCCACCACACCAGTATTATGCAAATACACCAGGTGGCTCTGATGACCTAGTACAGTGTCACATATTGCATGTCTATTTGGTCAGCAGCTTTCTCATCTCACTTGTGTGATCAGATAGGAGGTAGAGGAAGACAGTGCATAAAAAAAGCACAGCTTCTCTGCAAGACAGACTGCAGCTCAGGCCAGGTCAGACACTTAAGCTTTCTGTGCAGGCAGCATGGCTACTTCCTTGCCAAACAATGCTTTACACATTTGCATAAATCAACATTCAGACAACCTGTGTTAACAAGGTTGTTCACCTACAATCTTCAAGGGATTTCACCTTGACAGCACATCAGAAAGAAGTGGGTTTAGTTAGCCAGAAGGCTGCCCATTTTGCATTTTATTCCTTCCAGCAGAGGTCACTATTCGACATCTCCAACGCCTAAGACCTGTGACTAGGTTATCCTGTGCAGCTTCAGGAGAGACGTTTTCAAACCAAGCAGACCCATAGAGATTAAGAATCAAGACATGGTAATACAGACTAGACTAAAAGCTTAGAGTGCTCTTTAAAAAAATACAACAGACATCTTCAAAACACATACTATGGTACTCTTTCCAAGTACTTATACATAAGTCAAACCTAAGTCTGATTAAGAGAACCTGACATCTTAGCAGCTACTACAATTTTGAATTAAGTTTGCATTTAAATGCAGTGGTTCCTTGACTCTTGTCTTCTGCCTGTCCTAAGCACTACCTGCAAGCAAGCATCAGAAAAAGACCCTTTAACTCAAAATTATTCACTCTCTCCCTCAAGCATTCTGGTGTGTTACTGCTACAAAAAAGGAACCTGAAGAAAGTTTGGTTTCTCTTTTATTCATCTAGGAGGTGGTCTCATGACTTTCAGCAGTAACTAAGTTCTGAAGTTCTACCACACTAAAATGACACCTCGCTGCTGCAATACAGCAAGTTCCAACACTAGAGACAGCCCCAAGAACACACGTCCTCTTCCCTCAGCCTTGCTGGATGCTCTGTATTCTCAAGGCAAGCCCAGCCCAGGGCTGAGGATAAAGCCCTTACCATTCATTTTACAGGGGTGGGAGAAGACAACTAAGCAGCTAAAAAAGTTGCATCACACCTTGACAACTGAAAAGCAGAACAAAGCTATTTAACATTTAACAATCAAGATGCTAAATTCTGCACTTCTGGCTTGTTTCAGCAGTTAAATTCACCATGGAGGGGAAATAAAAGGGAACTGGAGAGCAAGTCTCACATCACCAGCAAGCAGAGCAGAAGCCTGAAGTGAGCTCAAATTAAGTATCACATTTGAGTGAGCTAGCGTAATGTGACATTGGAAAGATGTGCTTTTACAGCTCTTCTCACTTATCAGGTTAAACCTAAGCATGGCTGTAGGTCCTCCTATTCTTATTTAAAATTCAGTTCAAAAGATAGCCAAAGAAAATTGCACCATTGCTGGATGAGTCACACAGAAGATACGCATAAAGTTGTTGAACAAACAAGAACAAACAAGAAGGAGGTCTTCATACTTAGTTTTGAGGACAACAGATGCAAGCAGTATAGAAAGCACAGACAAGAAAGGAGAAAAAAAATCAAGAAATTTGCAGGCTTTTGTGCAAAAGAGATCACTCCTCCTCCCCCACTTCCTTTCTCCTCAAAAGAGGATTTTACAGACTCTACAGCTTCCTAAATTCTGCACCTCTCTTGCATCAGAGGAACATGTTCTAGACACAGGGATACAAAGCAAACAGGTTTGGAGAACTGAATCTGTAAGTCTGCAGAGCACCCTTCCTTTCAGGCAAAGGGAACCCATGCAGTTGTCACACACAGAGGTCTGTTACACACCACATTCAGGGTGCCCAACAACTCTGGTATTTTAGGGGAAGTTCAGACCTGCACATGTAGTTTTATTAATGTCTTTCTACCTTCATTTTGAAAAAGATTGCAAAGGTGCTTGTTCTGTTGTTCCTGTCAACGACTGTGTTTGGAAGTTACTGGCTTACCTTGGCTGTGAGAAACACGTTGAAGTGCTCATTAAAAGAAAGCACCGGGTGATCAGTTATTCTCTTCAAGAATTTGTCTAATGCTTTCCTCCTCGTCTCCACAAACTCTTCAGAAAAGCGATCGACCACACCCTTCACCACAAATTTCTCAGGAAGAGGCTGTCAGAGACAAGCAAAATGCACAATATAAGGAAGACTAAAAACTTGCTTCTGATATTTGGAAACACACAAAGCGATCAAACTCCAGTATTAACAGGCATTGAAATGTTGTTCGCTAACAGGAACCATGCATCAGGTGGGATGCAAGCACTGCTCTGAATTACCTTTTAACTGGTCTGGCCTAATGCTAGCAATTCCACTGAGAGGCTTCAGCTGAGAGCCATACCAGTGAAGCCCCAACAGTACTCACACTAAGCACTTCTAGCATAGCTTAGGGTGTTCCACTGTACTGCTATCCATGTTCCAGCTCTAAAGGAGATGCCAGTGGAGCCGCACGCTACCCACTACAGTAATTTGTGCATACAGACACCCTGATGTTGAAGCAAGGCTGTTCAATCCAAGGAAACTCAGAAAATTTAACAATTCTACTTACTTTTTCCTCCCCCATTCTGAACACTTTAGAGCTCCTGGACAGGGCCCTTCTGTGGAGGGCTTATTGCTCAGTGTGGTGCTATCACTAAAGCTAAGACAGATGAGTATGCTTGACACAGCAAACGGTCAAGTTAATCCAGGGTGGAGCCTTCCTGAAGCTCTTGCACACTTGGTCATCTATCAAAGCTGACATTCCTGAGCATGTCTGTGTAAGTGACAGAGGTCTGCCAATATATCTACTCTTTCATCTCACTCCTATTTCAACTCTATCAGTTCATTTCTGCAGTTCAGCTTAACAGGTAAGCCCAAATCTGCCTCCAGACTTGCTAGTTCTGCAGTCCCTCCCATTACACTTAGTCTCCAGGCTTGAAAGTATTGCTTCAAATGGAAGAAAACTCTTCAAGCTTCAGCATGGTTAGTCTCAGCTCTACTACTACATTTGCTTTTGTTGTCTCCAGACAGCATGGACTCTAACATTAATACCAGTTTTAAAATTATGCTTTGTATTTTATTCTTGTGAAACAGTATGTCCAGGCAGATAATCTGCTTACTCTTGAGCTAGCAATGACAGCCATTTTCACCCAATTCAGGAATCAGGATTCTCCCCTGCAAAGGATCTTTTGTCACTTGAAATCTGTGATAAAAGTAATTCAAAGAGGAAAAAAAAAACCTCTGTATGCATATGCCTTTCCCACCATATGCTAGCTGATGTGGGATGTACATGAAGATTACACCTCCTAACAAAACCCAGCGAGTATGACTTAGCTGCAACACAGCTACATTTTGACCACTATATTTAGTTCTTATAATTTTAAGACTTACCTTATTATGCTTAGCATTCAGATCAGTCATTCTGGTTAAACCGGTGTAAGATACACACTAATTAGACTTCTTCAGACAAATAATGCTTAGTGCAGTAGTCTTCAGGAAGGAAGGAAAAGTCTCTTCCCTTGTTTTGTAAACTTTAACTGGGACTCTACACTTTAGAAAGTCACTACCTCAGCACCACATGCAGGAGGAAAAGGACAAGCTGGGAGATTAGTTTCAAGAACCCCCGTTCAACCAAACACATGCAAACTGGCACTGAATAATCACTAAAGTTTGAGCACTTGAGACCCACCAAAGGGCGCACCTCTATTAGAGGCTTCTGCCATTTAACCTGGTTTTGTCTATAGCAGTAGTTACTGTTCTTCACATTTTAGGCCTGTGGACGTCCCTCCCAAGGAGTCAATACACACAGCTAGCAACTGATAGCCTGCTTTAACTGTGTGTTACTTATCTACCTTATAGTCTTCCAGCATAACAGTCTACTTTTCCCTGCTGTGACATATGAGCAGAGTTCACTGTAGTCAGAAATGGCTTCAAGTATCCAAACACCATCATCCAAAGACAAGATCTTTGGCCATGTTAGGCTTATCTTTCTAGTATAGAGACAGATCTGAGAGCATTTTTACTGTTTTTTGAAAGAAGAAGATTAGAGTAAGTCTCAGATCTTTTTAAAAAAAGTAAAAAACAGTAATCAAAGATGAAAAGGAACACATGTTCAGTTTAGTTTGGGCTCCTGAATGCAGGCTATCATGACTCACTGCACTGAGAAGACAGATCATTTGTTACAGAAACATTTCAGGCAGAGGCGCTATACTGAGATGAGGAAGACAACCCCCTTTCGGTATTTTGTTAGACAGAAGGCCTCCAACAGATTGCAGTTATCTCCAGTTAGAAATACAGATAGTCTTAGATTGGCTTGAAACATCCTTTCAGAATACATTTGAGTCACAGTGCACCTGAAACTGCCTATAGCTTCCATTCTTCATCTACTTCTATGCAATAAATACATAAAGCATTCAGCAATCTCCCTGCCATACCACTGCATGGAGGAGATGAATAGGAAAATTCCTGAACTGCTAACTTGCACATAGACAGATAAAAGAGGGCAGCACATTCTTATGCTTCCATATTTTCTAGGAGAGGGGCATTTAAGAGATTGCCTTGCTCTGCAGCCAGTTTCATGTCCGGTATTAGAGCCACTTCTGCCAAATTTGCCATTCTGTGTGCAAGAAAGTCCAGGTCACAGAAAAGCAGCTTGATTCCCTGGCTGTGACTCACCTTCTGCTACTAGACTATTATTTATTGCTTTGCAGCCTTCAGGACTGGCAGCCTGTTAGTACACTCAAGAATCTGTAAAAGCTTAACCTCGATGGTTCCTGCTGTTCAGAGAACAGCGAGGGAGAAAAGAGTGTCTGGGCAGCTAATACGTTAATTTCATGTCTCCACTTTAACCCAGCAAGCTCACTCATTCTCTGCTCCCTACACCTCAGTAAACATATTTGCTGCCAGTTAGTGTTGTCACATGATTTTGTGAAGTATTTCTTATTTTTGATAGACTGAGCTATTATTCCACTTAGACGCAAGTCCCAGTGAAATTAAGGACTTAAATAGCTCTCTACACTGGAACAGCCTGACTATTTCTCACATTGCCTAGTCTTTGCTAGGGGAGGAAGAGCAGAGCAACTTCTCCCTATCCCAGTTGGGCAAGCTAAAGTATGCCAGCAGTGTTGCTATTTCCCAACATTTCACCTCCTACAGGCCTTTTTGAATTTCCTTGTTCAAGAGAGCTGATGGTGGTGATCTCATGGGATTCCTACCTTTTCACTTCTTCCACAACATAAAAAACAGACTGCTGAAGATCAGTATTAGCCTCTTCATGTCACATAAGGTGATCAGACTGCCAGCTTCAGCAACAAGGGGTGTGGTAGTTTAGCTAGTCGCATTAGCTAAACTTCTGCCTACTGAAGGCATGCAATAGCTACCAAGCCAGAGGCTAAGATTTGTAAGGCTGTGCTATTAAGTGTTAGCCCAAATAGTTTTAAAATACTCTCTTTAAAACCAGTTCAAAAGGCCACCTTAAAAACTGACTGAGACTAGGACTTAAAGTACCTGCGTGGCTTTTCATAAGCCTCAGATATTCAGAAATCTAGAAGTAATAATTGTGTAAACAGATCAAATATATTCCATTTATGCCCCAAAAAACAGTCGCCAACCATGCTGCCCTACAGGAGCCTGCCAAAGCTCATCTCTCAGGTATGCCACCTAAGAAAAGTCTACATTTCATAATCAGTCAAGAACAGGAAGCTCTTCCCACTGCACTAGAAGAGAATGAAGTACTGTATTTAAGTCTAAAGAGACATATTACCAAAATATCACCCTTGGAAGACAGATACAAAACTGTCCTCAACAGCAGATTCTTGCTTACTACCTACGGGAATGAGATGTGTTGGCTGAGACTCTTCCAGCTTGTTTCTCAACCAGTCGAAGTCTTGGTACCGCCGGCGGACAGAATACTCTGGCAAATCAAACTCTGCTCGCGTGGTCTGGAAAAGAAGAACAGGATATGCTTAGCGTGCCCCAAAACCTCTCACTTCAGAGCTTCGCAGCAAATGCAGTACAGCCATCAGTGGCAAGGGTGAGGCCAGACAAACCTTGCACAGGGGCTCCATCCCCAAAATTGTGTTTGCAGCCTGCATGAGAGAAAGATCCTCTGGCCTTTCAAGCAGTGGGAAAGCCAGCGATAAGAAAAATGATTACCTGGAGCTGATGTGTTCTTAAGGTCTCTTAACTTCATTACATGTTCTGCTCAGATAAACTTTATGGGAGAAGTCTGTGGAGACTACTGTGCACCGCACTAATCTCTTACCAGTTACAAGTTTGCAGGGAAGACTCTATGACATCTTCATTCCAAGGACAAGACTATTTTAGCCATCAAGAATTAAAAGCAAAAATATTTCATGACTTGTTTCTTCTGAGGTGCACTAACCATGGGTGAAAAAAGTTTCACCACTGCCCCCATATTCCAGAAGTGACAGGCTTATTACACTCCTTCAAGGCTAAAAGATTAGAACATAAGCCATTGCCAAAGGACTGTTTTTACTGATTTCTGAGAGGAAGAAGCAATTTTGTTTACATTTAAATTCGTGTATGCCAGATTAGAAATATCAGTTCATTAAGTTAAATCTTTAAAGTTTTCATTCTTTAGGGCAAGGAGTTAAAGTTGCCATTACAAGTTTGAGACTGAAGGTAAACATGCGGAAAAGCTGCTGCCAAATGTTTTATCCAGTCTTTGAACAGTTCATAGCCTGGAAATCTGACTGTGTGGGGCTGCTTGCACAGTATGTATTGCAGCTATCTAAAAGCACTAATGAAACTGTGCACCAAATAGGAGCCTCTGCTGAAGAGCATGGTATTGTGATGATTGGAAGGTAGATGGTCCCTATATGCAGCACCAGCACACTACATGCCTACAGCTAGACACCAAACCCATTCTGGCCAGAACTGGTCAGCTTTGACCTGGCACTGAATCCAGCACTAGATTGCTTTGCTATTCCCAGCCACTACAACCACCTGCTAAATTCCAGTAGAGATTTTGTATTTACTTCTGGACTGAGAACAAATGCCACATATTTGGAGAGAACCAAGTAGCAGGCTTTAAACGCAATTCACCTCTTCGCTTGCTCTCTGGATGGCTCCAGCTCTTCAGTTACTGCATGTTAGTCCCACCAATCCCCACTGGGGATATTGTACAAGTTCTGCACCAGAAATCTCTTTCTAGGGGGAAGCCAGCAGCCTTAACACACTATCAACAGAACAGTAGCTCTAGTATACTATAAGCAGCATGCTAATGTGATGTTACCAATGAAATAATTTCATTTCTAGAAAAGGAAGGCATAGAGACAGCAGGGAAGAAATCAAGCTCACCTCCTCACTACGGTAAGAGATACACACATTAGTCCATGGACTAACATAACGGATGTTCACTAATGGAACAGCTGTGTTTGTAGATGAGGTACTACAAAGACCTAGATATCCACTGTGGATTTGTGCTTCACTCAGCTACACCTCAGAGTAACACCAGCTTATTTAACATGTTAGAGTGCCACACTATCAATGAAAAGTATGAGACTTCATATGAACCATTTTCACTGTTTTGAGTAAGAGACTGAATGTTCTTACGCTAGAATAAGATAATTCATGCACATATAGACAGCCCTCATCAGCCAGTGGTGCTGACTGCTTTGTTCTGTTAACAGGGCAGCTGTACCTCTGCCTTGCAGGGGATGACCTGAAACTAGAAGGGAGGGGAAAAAAAAGTAATGATTTAGTTGTAGGGAGAGGTTTTGTGAAATGGGTGTCACTGGGCAAAGGCCTCTTAAGAGACCAGACAGTGAGTGAATGAGACTAATCAGGATGCATACACGTTACACTGTCTTATCCTGTAGCATGAGGATGAAGGTGAAGTCTCTCATCTGTTAGCACTGAGAACCTTATTAACCAGTATTCTGCTAACAGTTAAGGAAAACTATATAGGTATTATTTAGTCTAGAAGTAGGAAAGCAGGATAAGTCCCAGTGCACAAACTTTACATTAATTATCGTTCATCTCTAGCAAACTGCTCCTCCTGCCTTTACATCACAAGCAGATTTGCAAAGTTTTCCATATATCAGGCTTTGTTTCTCAGAGGGAGGCAGATGTAAAATATCACAGTCATCAGCATTTCAGTGTTTGCTGTATGGGCTGTCAAATCTAGACAGCAAATAAGCTTTTCAAAAACTATTTGGACAGAACATAAGGGCCCTTCAAGGTTTTAATGACATCTCACTAATGCTGAAAGAATTTGGATCTGAGATAAAACTGTTCATTAGCTTAGCATGAGTTATTTTTTTCCAGGCTGCATACGAAAAGGAAGAGGGTCTTGCCACTGTCCAGGGATGGCAAGTGAAATGTCTGTGGTTTTGAAACAGTTGAATTCTTCCTGCTTTCTTAGTAGGATCCATAAATCTCATCTTGCAAGGACACGTGTCTGTCCCAAAGGAGGCTGAGAAACTTAGGTGGCAGATCTCAACCTCCCAAAAATAATGGCCAAGACATTTCTAGGGATTTATTGAAGACTCCAGCACAGTTCCACTAAGTCAGTACTGCAGTATTCTGGGCTCAGTCTTACTTGCTGGAAAGCAAGCAGGGTTACAGACACTTTTATCTCTCTTGTTGAAATAGCTTTGACTTGAGGCAATATTAAGGCAATCACCAAGTCTTGGTCTTGTGTAAGATTCTTGTCTTTCTTGAAAGGAGTTAGCAGTCAAACCTAAAGCTAATCTGTGATGACTATGTGAAAGTGTTTTTGCACCCTAGTTCTAGTCTCTTATTCACTGCACCTGATTGTGGATTCCCCTCCATGTCACTATTTAAGTTTGGGGCAAAATCTTCAACTAGATAGAGGAGAATGGCAGAGGAGGGTATTCTTAGCAGATCATAGTTTCATCTGCCTCAAATAGTTTGGACAGTTTGAAAAAGAGATCATAGCACTTACACCTGCTCCTCTCTAGGGATCAAGCTGTTTTGTGTGCTCAGGTAATCTACCCAATGCATGCACTGGAAGCAGGAGGAGAAGGACAGGAAAAAGAAAACAAGACCTCCACTTCAGTATTGAGTGGTTTGAAGGCCTCTCCCCTTCAAGCCTGCAGAGTAACTGCATGACTCTGAGGAATGGCACACAGCTGTTCAGACCTCCATGGGAAAAGGCACAGAAGGCAGCCTTGCCATCCTAGAAAGCACAACAAAAGTGAAGTTAGAAGTACACTTAGTTATGTTTCCCTTGGGAGAAATGACTACATAGTATAAGGGTAAGCTTTATTTTCCCCCTCCCTCCTCAGAAAGATCTACTTGATAAAAATCCCTCTAGAGCACGCATCAGCCTATCTGAAGAGCACAAAGGCATATCATCAGGAACACCCAAGACACTTCAATAATCACAGCCAAGACCAATTAAGTTCCAGCACAAGTTTCACCCACCTTTTCAGTTTCACAAGCCTGCCCGTATAAGAAAATGGCTGTTAGCAGGAAGAAAACAGGGTATGAAACAGTCAAGAGAGCAAGGTCTGAATCACCATCCCCTTTATTTTGGGGATTCCCATTATGTTCTTTAGATGTGTTCATCCAGAAGACATGCTACCTGGCTCTTACTAGGAAGCTGTGAAAGCAGGGGCACAAGCAGGACCAAGTAACCTCTAAGCTTTCTTAGCTTCTCTGCAAGCCATTGTTTTGGACCCTTCCTCAGCCACCACTACCTGCTGACAAAGGTATCAATAGATGGTACGTCTGGGGCATACTGCAAGATTTCTCTTTTTTGCTGTTATGATGAAGGACCTTTCTAAAGAAAAAAAAAAACCTACCACCCACACAACACAAAACCAATACCGCAGTCAGGTTACACTCTTCCCTACAGTGGTGTCCAGTCACAGCCACAAGCGCATATTACAGCACTAGCAGTTACATTCCACTCTTCCACCTAGTGATGCTGCTTTTCACAGCAAGAAGTCTTTAGCATAACTCATTCTAGGACCTATGTTTATCCAAACCTTTGAGGTTCCAATAGCATTCTTCAGTAGAGAAAGAAGAAAAGCTGCCACCCTTGCTTCCTCATCCAGGGCCACCACAGAGACCCTTTCAGCCCTTTACAAGTCTCGAACCCCTCTCATGGAAGTCTGCAAGGGACATGGTGGGAAGGCATAGCCATATGCTGATGGCAAGGAGGAGCAAGGTCTGCTATAGAACTTTGACCTACAACTTGGAAGTGCAAGCATCGGCACTCATCATTGTCTAGGGATTATTCCTGTGTAGCTTTTTTGCCATGTTAAATTACAGCTTTCAGCTACGATGGCTGATTGGGCAATTAGCTTGGCATCAAAGAGACCTTGTTTGTATGGCAAGAATGAGTCAGATCATTAATACTGTTAGTCTTCCAGTCTTTTTTTTAAACAATGGTAGATAACATTAGTGGTGCTAGCCCTAGAGGTTAGTCAGAAGTTTACAAGAATAATGAACCCAAAGAGGGGAGCCTTTATGGTGACCAATAGGAATAAATTATGCACTATTTCACAATACTAGGGTTATGACAGAGCAGATCTATGTGCTACAGTGAGATCCCAAATATTAACAAGTATTAACAGACAGGGAGGTAGATATGCAAAGTCAGAAGTACAGGATAAGAGGTTTTAATATTAAAAAAGGCACTCTAGGGTAATACATCTGATCTAAATACATAAATACCTTACCCGTGTTCCAGAGTTCTGTTTTAAGAAGGGAACCCTTGTATGAACACAAGTTTCCAAGCAGAGGAACATTATTAGGGTGTAACTGTGTGCAGATATTTTATATTGACAGAATAATTGGGTCTTAATTTAAGGGAGAAACAACTTTAGCAAGTTTTAGCCATTTGCCTGTGGAAAGTTGCATCTCATTTTGTGCTTCCTATTCCTTCTGATCATGCAACAGCTGAAAGCTAAGGTCCTCCAAGTAGAAAAGTTTCCTACAATACTTCTTTGCATTTTCTAGTAGTTAATATATAGCATTTCTTGCAAGATTAAGACATTTAGAGCAACAAAGAATGACAGGCCTATGATAAGTGTAAGTAACAGTAAGAGGTAGCTATTATTTTAGAGAAACCACATTTTCTCCTGTGCAGCCTGAAACTTTGGAGTAGACACTTTGGAAAAAAAAAAAAGTTATCTGTGGCCTGTAAAGGCTTCCTTATCTCAAAAGAAAATATTCTCACCAGTATAGAGTGCCATCTAAGTAAGCCAGAGGAATGTTGATCTTTTCGGACAAGTGGATCAAGTATATTCCTGGTGAAGATGGTGAACACTTTTTGCCTTAGGTAACTACGAGTGCCCAAAAGAAATGTCAGCATCACCTAGGAGGTGCTAGTAAGAATGAGCTAGTTAACAGAAATCAACATGCCAGTTGTGAGTGCAGTGGACTTTTCAGATCATTTTTTCCTATTAGTGTAATTAGATTCCATTAATGATTGAACCACAACACATGCTTTAAAAAGTCTCTAGCATATTTCTTTTCAACAGGCACTTGCATTCTTAGGCTACTTAGTTTTAGCAGCAGCTATACTGCCTTCTGTACCAACAACAGCATGGAAACTAGTTTACAGTTGAGGACCAAGATTATGATTTAGTAAGTGGCTGGTAGAGGAAGTGTGGTAAACATGTAAAGCAACAAGCTTAAAGCATTTCAGAAAAGGATAAACACACAAAATGTGAGATATTAACAGCAAATCAACAAGGCACATTCCCCTTCAGGGGAGGTAACTCAAACCACATAGGTCAGATTAACTTGAAAGTTTGTTCATATAAAGTAATGAAACTGGCCTTGCAAGTTTACAAACAGTTCTATTTAAGAGTCAGAGACAAAATTCTAACCTGACACATTAGAAGTTTTGTATAGTTTCATATACTGAAGTAGTAACAGTTCTGCTAGGAGAAGTCACACCTTCAACACATTCACAAGGTACTGAAAGACACTAAGTTCTCGTCCTTAAGGAACTACACTGCAAGGCACAGATGTCCAGAACAAGCCCTAAAAAAGACTCCCCAAAGAAAAAAGTACTAGGAAAGGAGAACGTTGCTTTGTACCTTTGTTGTAACCCTGTATGTAATATAGGTCTCCATTGTGCACACGTGTTTTTTGGGATCATCAACAGTAACAAAGAGGTCTCTAGTTTCCCCATCCAAATCATCATCCAGCTGTAGTCTGTTGAGGAGAGATGAGGAGGAGGCTGGGCTAGAAGTGTCCACAGGTGTGCCATTGGGTAGACTGAGATCCTGTATTGGAGAGAAAAAAAAAAACAAGCAAGTTTTTAATAAGTGAACAGATTCACTACAAAGCACAGTATTCTCAAAGATGCTGTTGACAAGCTTCACTGACATATTACAAAGGCAATTTATTTCAGCAGGTCCAGGAATCACCCTTTCCAGAACGTCTGGACAATTCTCTAAGGTCTTGGCTTCGAATATTTGGTTGTTCTACTGTTCCACAAGTTGAAGAGAAAGCACATTACCACCATACCTCCTCTTAGTATGGTGCAACCTGTTTTCCACTCATGAGGAAGTAGAAGCATCGCTGAAACAACAGTTCCTGGTGAGACTGAACCAACTTAGACTCTGAAAACAAAACAGCTATGCAAATCAAGAGACCTGCTTATAAGACAGGCTTCAGGCAAAATGGCAACAGTTCAGTCGACTGGAATGCAGTCAGCCTTCCTCTCTGCACACTCTTATAGCAGAGGAAGGAGGGCAAACTTGTATCAGAGGCTTCCCATTCAGTACATTAACTTCCAAATATGTTGACAGCAGTTAAGAAACTAATTGCCAGCACTGCACTACAGGACAGTCACAGATCATACGCTCCAGCACCAGTGTCTATGCACATCTCCCTTTTGGAGTCCTAAGGCCAATGAAAACACTATTTTGCTTGAGAGGTCCTCATTCCCATCCTCCCAACTCCAAGAGTATTATCCAGTGCCTAGGGAAGACAGAGGCTAAAAGAACCATAAGTAGCTATTTTAGGAAGGCATGCACAAGGGTTTGGGAAGTCTGTAATTCCTTGAAACTGACTCAGCAGCACGGGGCGGGGGGGGGGGGGG